GTGGACAAAGCTCCAGGGACAAAATTGAAGTGAAATAGTTTAATACATCAGTGTATCATAGCAGATTACATTGTATTGTGTGTATTCTGTGTACATTGCAACTTTTCACTTTTGAATTTCCCGCCGGCTGTGACGCCCGAAAACGAAACTAAAAGTCAGATGCCGGCATCGGCCGGCCGCGTACAGCAGAGGACACCGCGGGCTCGCAGGGACAAGGTAAGGGACACTTTTCTGTGCATTCCCGGGTTACCGCTTTTGGTACTGAAAATTAACCCCGAGAAAAAGGGAAGGTTTGTGTATTTACTGTACTTATACAGTATAATAACAGATACAAAGCATTTCAAATAATTATTGTTGCAAAAATAATGCCCATCCTGACATACCCGATTGCCCTCTTCACAACGAGTCACCATCACAATAATTGTTGACTTCTGTTCCCAAATCATTCTCCAAAAATCAGTCATAGTTTCTTCCTTAGGGCCTGCAAAATATTTTTAACTGTATTATCATGACACAGTGGCAAAGGTAGTTCTTGGAGTTTTTCATATATAGAGATTACAGAATACAGTCAAATGATTATATATCATGTACAAGTTAGGGAACTGTAGGTGACATGGAATATACCTTGAGCAGCAATGTACTTTCTTGGCTCTTTAAATCCCTGAAGAGAAAAAAAAAACAAGAGATGGCATGAATAAGGGAAGGAGTATGACACAAAAAATTGCTTATCCACATTTGGGACAATATTTTTATGCGTAATAAATATCTAATAAATAAGTGTATATGTATCAGGAAAATTAATACACCTATTAATACACATCACTATGTCCATTGAAACCTGCTTCTGAATTCAGGTTCCATTTATACCTACATTAATGTAGCTGGCATTGATATAGTCTGATCCAGACTCCCCATGTATCTCAGACAGGACCACTCGATTTTCATCATCTATAATATAATTATATATCAATAGTTTAGTGATTAAATAATAGAACAACTTTTAAAGATTTAACGTTATATCACTTTTTGTATAGATGGATCCTGTACTTACAAGGCAAAATATCAATATAGCGGTTTTTAACCTGATTGCAGGGTTTTCTGGCTTCTTTATTGGAAAATTTGCTGAAAACTCGTGGGATACTCTGAAAAAAATAAATAAACATATTTCACATAATTATGATAAAACAAATTAGGACATGGATTTGTTAAGATTGTAAAGGTCTAGGTGAAAATTATTGCAGAAAATTAAAGAAACAAAAAATTGTATAGTCATAGAATCCACTCAGATTCTAGATTTTTCTCTAACAAACTCTCTCTTCCACTTGCACATTTTATTTTTGAACATGTGACTCTTTTTACATTAGATCAATATAGACCTAAATGTCCAGTGGTGTTTGTATTTTTTCTGCATATTCCTACATACTGCAGTTAACACAAAAGAAATAAGTGTTAGAACCATCCTACTATTCTCAAGTTATTAAAACAAAGAAGAAGTATAACAAGCATAACTTAAGCATAGCCCCCAACTATCCCAGATACACAGAT